CGTTTGTTGTATGGCTCCCAGTGCTCCCACGATAATCGAAATTATTTTTTCCTTTTTTTTTCCTCTCATTTTGACAATTTCTCATTTTAAATTTCTTTTTATTTAATCTTCACAGCATTTCACACACGTATACATATATTTTTTTTCTTCTGCTTTTTTTTTGTTGTTGAAACGTTACGTTTGTCTCTCTCTCTCTCTCTTCTCTTAAATGTACCTCTTGAATATTTTCATTACTTCACACGAAAAGATTTATCATAATTATTATTATTATTATTATTATTATTATTAATGTGAGTGGACGAAAATGAAAAATAAAATTTTCTTTGTAATTTACGTTTTTAGCTTACGGATAAAATTTTTCTTAATTTTTGTTTTCAACGTTTAGAAAAAAAAACATTTTCCTTTGATTATTATCATTAATATTAAAATGATTATTATTATTATTATGTTGTATTTTAAACGTATTCGGGTACAAAGGGTTTGGGAAAAAAATATTAATTGACAGAATAACGTTTTTTTTTTTTTCTTGTTTCCATCTTATTAAATTCAAAATATTTTTTTTTTTCGCGACGCCATTTTTATTTTTATTTTGAAAAGAAAAATGAAACAATGGCGTGGGCGCATCGTAAAAAAAAGAACGAAATAATAGCAATAATAATAATAATAATAAAAAGAATATAAAATTAATTATTACGGTTAATTACAACAATTTAAAAAAAGGGAAGAAAAAAAAATGGTTAATAAGGTTTCATCAAATTATAATTAATCAAGTTTTACTTATCGGGGGGAGAGAGAGAGAGGATGGGAGAGGAGGGGGAGAGGAAGAGAGAGAGATTGAATGAATCGTTATAAATTACGCATCTAAAATAATTATTATCAGTTTCCCTTGACTAATTTTTTAACCTTGAATTCTTTTCTATTTTCAATCATTTTTTATCCCGTATGAAATATCCCGGATGTCTGTCAGACGTCATTTGTTATTCTTACTCTCTCGCTCACTCTTTCTCTCTCTCTCTCTCTTTCTGTCTATTTTCTCTTTGAAAGATTTTTTTAAAAAAGGTTTCACGGTAACCAAAAATATAAAATAAATTTTAACGATGAATTGTGGCAGGGACGATGATGACGATGACGATGATGATGATGGTAAACGGATGAGCGATTATTAAAAAAAAAAAAAAAAAAAAAAGAGAGAAAGAGAAAACGAACAGGTGCTGCAGGTTGAATTTAGGTAAAATTAAAAAGAGAAGACTAAAAAAAACATACACACACTTACAAAAAGCAAACGGGAATAAAGAGAGAGAGAGAGAGAGAGAGAGAGAGCCTGAGGCGTGGTTCGTAGAGATATTGATTGACCGGTATTTCAATTATCAGAACAAGTGAAGAGTATGGTTGTCATAGTTACAGCATCAAAGGTTTTTCCTCATTCTATAAACTACTTCATGCAAGAAAAAAAAAAAGTAATAATAATAATAAAAAACAAGTATTTTCCTTTTTCCTTTTTTTTTTCTTTTTCTTTTTTCTTTTTTGTTTCTTCTGCTCTCTTTGACTTCATTATTCTTTGTTCGTCTATTTCATTGTTTGTGTACCTTTTCAACTATTTGAGTTTTTTTTTCCCTTCTTCTTCTTATTTTCAATGATGTTGATTAAATTTCTTTCTCTCTCTCTCTCTCTCTCTACCCCCTCTTCCTCCCTCTTCTTCTCTCCATTATTTAATTTTTTTTTTCTTTTTATTTTGATTCAAAGTTTAATTTAAAAAAAAAAAACATTTCCTTCCTTCTCCTCCTCCTCGTCCTTCTTTTTTTTACCTGAAAAAATATATATATATAGTTTGATGATTAACGTGAAATAATAATAATAATAATAATAATTTATCGTTATCATAATAATAATAATAATATTTCTTTTGTAGGTTTTTTTTTTTTGTGAAAAATGAAAAATACATTCTTGTGAAAACAATTAATGTAACGTAGCGTCAATAATTTTTTTTTCACTTTTTATTATTATTATTATTATTAATTAATAATAGAAATTGTATAAAATAATTAATTTTGTTGACGTATAAAAATATATATATATATTTACGACCTCGCTTTTCTCGCTTTTCCTTTTTCATTTCCTTTTTCCTTTAGTTTTCTCTTTTTATTTTTTTTTTACGTTCGTTCTTTATTTTGTCTGTGCGTAACGATTATTTCATTATTTATTTATTTAACCGTTTTTGTGTTTTC